AGTCTCGCTCTGTTGCCTAGGCTGGAGTACAGTGGCATAATCTCTCCACCTCTTGGGTTCAAGTGATTCTTCTGTCTCAGCCTCCTGAGTAGCTGGGACTACAGGCATGTGCCACCATGACTGGCTAATTTTTTTTTTTGTATTTTTAGTAGACATGGGGTTTCACCATGTTGGCCAGGCTGGTCTCAAACTCCTGACCTCAAGTGATCTGCCTGCCTTGGCCTCCCAAAGTGCTGGGATTACAGGTGTGAGCCACTGCGCCCAGCCTGGGAGCACCCTTTAATGAGACTTAGTAATGCCAGTGGATATAGACATATCAGGTCTCCAGTTAGGATTGTGATAGGAGAAATTTGCTTTTTTCTTTTCCCTGTTTTCAATGAGGTTTAGATGAAAAACCAATACAGGTGGTTCTTGAGAAGATTATTGCAATAATTTTGTGTTGTTAAATTACTTTGGGAGGGAAAACTTCACAGTTCTCAGTGGGTGTTTGCTTCCATCCCATCTGTGTTCTGGACCTTATATGTGACATCAATTATAGTGACAGGAGCTCATCTTGGCTTGGATCACAGCTAGAAAAGCCTTAGTTTTTTCTGATAGCTCTGTTGCTGTTGTGCTAACAATATAATGAGTAGCTACAAATAAAATGAAAATGGGAAATCCTTCCTGCATATCCACATTCCTAAAGTATTTATTGAATGAAGTATCTATTATGTATATTAAGCTATATTGAGTTCTGTGCAGGATAGGAAAAAGGTATATGAATCACATGCTGATGCCAGGATTTTGTAGGATGGTAAGTTTTGAGACACCAAGGGATAAATGGCCAGTTCAGAAGAGGAAGAGACCACACATGGCTGGGGGAATCAGGAATGCCTGGTAAACTGAAGAGTACATAGCATTTCAGAGTTGGTGTGAAAAATGTCTTTCTCTGTGAGGCGTACAAATGAAGAGGATGGAGGCCAAGAACAGGGACTGGCATGTAGTTGAGTATTGTTACAGAATGCACAAAGGGGTTTTGGTAGAAGAGAAAAAGGTAAACTGGAATCATCAATGTGTGCAGTGTGAGTCTACGCTTTATGCTACAGGTAGTAGAGAAACTATTGACAGATTTTGAGCAAGATGATGTGATGACAGCTATACTTTAAGATTAATCTAGAGGCCGGGTACGGTGGCTCATGCCTGTAATCCCAGCACTTTGGGAGGCCGAAGCGGGCAGATCATGAGGTCAGGATATCGAGACCATCCTGGCTAACACGGTGAAACCCTGTCTCTACTAAAAATACAAAAAATTAGCCGGGCGAGGTGGCGGGCGCCTGCAATCTCAGCTACTTGGGAGGCTGAGGCAGGAGAATCGCTTGAACCTGGGAGGTGGAAGTTGCGATGAGCCAAGATCATGCCATTGCTCTCCAGCCTGGGCGACAGGGCAAGACTCTGTCTCAAAAAGAAAAAAAGAAGTTGGATCAAATTATGTACTAGAGTTGAAGGTCATAGTGAACCATGAAAAAACTTTAAGACAAACTTGTAGGTAAATTATCAGAAGAGATAAAAGATAAAATAAGAGCTAAACTGAATTTTAAGTGCTGAGAACATTTTCTAATAGTGAGAGGAGTTATGTAGATGAT